TCTCTCTCTCTCTCTTTCTTTCTTTCTCTCTTTCTCTCTCTCTCTCTCTCTCTCTCTTTCTTTCTTTCTTTCTATTTCCATCACCCCCCCCCTTCCTCTACTCACCAAACTGTGCAACTCTGTGGTTTTACCCCTCCACTCCTACCCCTTCCCCCCCCTTGGGTTCCCATACATGTTTTATTAATTAATCTTCCTGTTTTTATAGTAATGGTCTTAAGCAGTACATCCTTATGAATGTGAGTTAATTCACTTAGCATAATGCTCTATAGTCTCTCCCAAGTTATGTAGTATTAGGCTTACTCTTGGTGGTGGTAGGTGCCATTGAATCAACTCTAACTCATAACTCTCAGCATGACAGAATAAACACTTGCCTGGTCCTGAACCACCCTCACCATCTCTCTTGTTTAAGCCTATTATTGTAGTCATTGTGTCATGCCTGTTTGTTGAGTGCCTTCCTATTTTTGACCAGCCTTCTGTTTTTGCAAACCTGATGCCCCTCCAGTGACTAGCACCTCCTCCTGCTTCAGAGGAGCCCTCTGACTTTACTTTCTGAGCTCTTCATAATTTGGCTCTTCCTAGCCTGTCCATCATGAATATTATGACAGCAACCCCCTGGGATTATGACTATCCAACTTGGGCCAACTCATACTTGCCCTTCAATGTTTCAGAAATTCATTCATTTTATTGTCCACCAATGTTCACAGCAGCATTATTCACAATCCCAAGAACATGGAAGTAGCCCAAATGTCCAATCACAGTTGAGTGGATTAAGAAACTGTGATACAGTCACACACTGGAATACTACCCAGAAGGCAGGAGTAATGATTTTTGAAAATTACTACATAACTTGGGAGAGGCTGAGAGCTTTAAGCTAAGTGAAATAACTCAGTCCCATAAGGACAAATACTATATAAGACCATTATTATAGAATTAGATAACTAGTAAAACGTGTATGAGGATCCAAGGAGGGGAGAGTAGGAACAGAGGGGTGATGCTGGGCAGGGAGGTCATCATAGGGTCACACAGTTTGATGGGTAGAGGGAGGGGTGGGTAAAGGAAATGGGGAAGACCCAGTGTGAAAAACAATGTAAACAAACTGTAAGCAAACCAGTAAAAAATTAAAATAAAATTAAGAAAAAAAAGAAATTCACTCACTTTGAGAGAGTGAACCAAACCTCTCCTCCCAACAAATTCTTCACCAGTCACCTTCCCTAAATCACTTAAATCATGAAAAAGGCTTTGAGCCTTCCTGTTACCTGCAAATTCAACTTAAAGTTATATGCCATGAAGTTGGAACTGACCCATAGCTTACTGTCCAGGAGATTTTCAGAGGCTATAAATTTCACAGGCAGAGATTGATTACTTGTTTTTCTCCTGAGCTGTTGGTGGATTTAAAACATCTGCCTTTGGGTTGGCAGTGCAGCTCCTTACTTATTAGGCTGCCCAAGTTCCCTTCAACTTGATGCCTTTAAAGTTGGCAAAGAGATTGGTATTTTTTTGGTTCACAAACTTAGTGTTACAACAAAAGTTCAGGTTGGCTCAGCGTCATATTCTTGTTTAGCTCTCTTTTGTCAGAGTATTAAGGAGGGAAGGGATAAGAGAGGAGGTAGAAGAAGAAAAGGTCTCCAAGATACAAATGCCTTAAGGTGATTATAATACATTCCATTAGTTGAGAACCATTCTAGTGGAACCCCAAAAACTCGCTGCCAAAGAGTCAGTTTCAACTCATAATGTCATTGCCCATAGAGTCCAAGGGTAATGCTTCCTTGTCATTTGTGCTCCCTGTTTTAGAGGAAGGTTCCCAAAAATTACTCCTTTATTGTGGTTATATGCCAATTTCCTAGGCTTGGTAATACCAAAACAAACTGCTTGTAAAGAAGTCAACACATGTGTGGCATGGCATGTGTGCAAGAACAACAACAGCACCTAACAGCAGCAACAGCAAGCAACAGGGGTTCCTGCACCTAACAGCAGCAACAGCAAGCAACAGTTGTTCCTCCATCAGTGTTTTTCCTTTCATCTTGCACCGTAGATTTGGCACCACTGCCAGCCTAAGTATATGAGAGTATGGTCATCTGGAATTTGCAATTAGACAGCCCCTTAGGGAGTGGCACTGACTCCATCTTGAATCATAGACGACAGTCTTCGGTATCTGAACCATTTAATACTGTGTGAGAGTGATGACTTTATTTTCCCTGAATTACTTATGCTTGTGACTGTAACTTCCCTTTTGTTTATCATTACAGTCCACTCAGCAGACAACACACGAATGGAATTAATCATTCCAGGAGAGCAGCATTTCTACATGAAAGCAGTGAATGCAGCTGAAAGACAAAGGTGGCTGGTTGCTCTGGGGAGCTCTAAAGCCTGTTTGATGGATACTAGGACTAAAAAAGAAAAAGGTAGTTAATACAGTTTGCATTATGGCTGCAGTCTTTCTTAAACATAAATATGAATTTGTCATTCCCACCTTTAGTATATATCTTAGTAAGTAAGTATTGTTGTAAATTACAATGGAAAGGTTTAAATTTAAGGAAATATTTCAATAAATTGTATGTTGCTTATAAGACTGAATTTATCAAATATTCTCTTTCACTTCTGAGAGCTTCTCCCACTTTTCCTTATGGTTCAGGGGTTCTCAGGAACAACTCCTAGAACTCTTGGAAAGCATTGTGGTGTTATGTGCTGTCTAGTTGGAACTGACTGATAGGGACTCTCCAGTGGGTTTTAAAGGCAGTCAGTCACACAGGAGGAGGTGGCCCATCTTTCTCCTGTGGAGCCATTGGTGGATTCCATGCAGTGTGCCTTTGGATTGACAGTGCAACTCCTTGCCTTGAAGCCACCAGAGTTCCCTGGAAGTGCTGTAGTTGTGCTTCAAGTTTTATTACAGGAACAAAAGTGTACAGAGAGATGCATAAAGACAAAGTCTGGGAGCTTTTCAGTATGGAGCGTCTGTGTGTGGACACATTCCTTTCTCACATGCAGTCCAGTTGGAACAAATATGAAACTTCAATTTTTCAGCACCCATTCTTTTAAAAAAATTTCTTTAAATCCAAATAATGAGCTATTATGTTATGCAGGACCTGGCTAACCTTCCCCTCAGAGACCTCATCACCTCCCCGACCTGTTAAGGGTAGTCTAACGTCCATATTAAAGCCATATTCCAAGGCTTCAAAGTTATTTCTCAGGAGCAAAGGAAAAATACCAGCTGACTTTATATATATCTCACACTGCTTTTATAGGTTGATAAGTTATATGACCATTATAAAGGTTCCTAGGAATTTGAGTGATATGGGAAAGTGTGCAGTGTTGATGTTGAATGAAAATTGAGGAAAAGCAGATTCAGAATATATATATATTCATATTATATATAATATATCTTTTCATATTATGTAATATATTTCATATTATATACAATATATATTATATATCATATACATTCAGATTTTATATAATGTCTATTCAGATTTTATATGTGTATATATATGGCTGGTATGAATGGCCTAGTGGCAAGAAGCTGCGCTGCAGTCTTGAAGGCACGTGGTTTGAGGCCACCTGCTGTTCCACGGGACAAAGATGGACAGTCTCCTCCTCTGTGATTTACTGCTCTGAAAACCCACTGGAGGGTCAGCTGTGGGTCAGTTCCGACTCAGTGTTACCCATAAATGACAGCATTCTGAACTGATGGACTCAGGAAAGGTTTGTGGTAATTGTTTAAGTATATAGCTCTGGAAAGGAAATATGTGGGAAGAAGGGTTATATTCACTGTATACCCTTTACTACCTTTTGACTTAGCCATTTGGACAGATTGCCTTTTAAAAAAAGATTATATAAAGCAGAGCAAGTAACTTAGAGGGTTAATTAAAGAGAGTTTTACATTTTATGTTAAACTGTTAATGGTAATTACATCTGGGTAGTGATTAGAGTTGCTCAGTTTTCACTTCTCTCTGTCTATATATATTTTCCAAAAATTTACATTGAGTAACATTACTTTTTAAATGAAAGAATAATAGCAGTTACTTAAATAAGTGAAAAGGAACCAAATTATGGGTATTGAAAAATGGAAGGTTTATTAGGTTTTAGGATTGAATTTATAATGACTTCAAATATATATAAGAACATCATGGATAAAGTATGGCTAGAGATGGGGGGAAAAGAACTTAAATTGGGGCAAAAATTACTTGAAGCATCCAATTGTCATTCAGTTGATTCCAGTTATTGGTGTATGAGAGTGGACTGTGTTCATCACGTAGGGTTTTAATAGGTGATTATTCACCTGCTACAACTCCATGTAAACATCAACCTCCACACGTTTCATTCAACAGCCAGCTGTGTTAAGTGCACCACCCATGGAGTCCAGAAGGTGGTTTAGTTTAGACCACAAGGACACAAGAGCTGTGTGGTCCTCTCTTACTGGTAGTGCCACAAAGCATTGTCCCTGGGCTGGTGCAGCGATTATGGAGAAGCACCTGAACCTACCTTGTGTATTTTGAGTTCCTCTCCTGCTCTGGTAGTGTAGTCCATAGAGAGTTACACTGCTAACCTCTCTGGTTCTAATCCACCAGCCACTCTGAGGAAGCAGATTTCTTCCCATGTGACTGACAGCACTGGAAACCCAGCAGAGGGTCAGCTTTAAGTTGGAAGAGTTTGCAGTTTTGAATTTTTCCTACTTAAATTTCCAGTTTAGAATGTATTGCAGACGAGTGGCTGGGATTATGCCTAAATAGATTGTCTGCAGTTATTAGAAAAAAGAGCTCTGGTGCCATAGAACGTAACATGCTGTGCTGCTCACTCAAAGGTCAGAGCTGTGAATCAGTCAGCTGCTTTGAGCGAGAAAGACTGTCAGTCTCCTCCCAAACGTGTTTGTAGTCTCAGAAACCCAACTGAGAGTTGCTGTTATGAATTGGGATGGTCTCAATGGCTATGAGGTTTTTGGAAAGTTATTGAAAAATAGAAAATGTAGCTCTTAAAAATATTTTGAAAACAGTATAACATAAAAATGAAGGCAGGAGAGGAATGGAAGGAAATAGAGGGGCTCTCATGGCCTAGTGGTAAAGAGTTGCACTGCCAACCCAAAGGCAGGCAGTTCAGAAGTACCAGCTGCTCAGCAGGAAAGTGAGTCCAACTCTCTGGCATATTACAACAGCATCATATATAAAATAAATTCAGTTGCATAAAACATAAAACTGAAAAATTTTGAAATGACACAGTATCAAAGCAGATAGGAAGTTGTCAGATATGGAAAAGTATTTGTAAGATAAAGAGTACGAAAAGAAGGCTGTTTTCCTTATTGTATAAGAATGTTTACAAGTTACTTATTTGTATAGTAAGAGAAAACCAGATTTGCTGGAGAGCATAACTGCTTGGCATGAGAGCTGCTAACTAGAAGACTTACCCAAAGGCACCTCAGAAGAAAGGTTTGGCAATCTACTGAAAAGTCAGTCATAGAAAACACTGTGGATCACCGTTCTCCTCTGACCCACCTGGGGCCACCGTGAGGTGGTGTCAACTTGATGGCAAATAGTTAAGAGAAAAAGCAAACCTCAGAAGTGGAAAAATGAGTAAAGTCAATTTACAAAACAAGAAATGCAATTACTTTTCAAATGGAAAACAATGAGTAGGAGAATGAAACTATCTTGTATAAAACATCGCACTAACCCACTGCCACTGAGTTGAGTTAGCTGTGACTCGGAACCGCTGTGTTGGATAGAGCAGCACTGCTCTGTACGGATCCTGAGACTGAAAATCTTTTTTCTCTCCCCTGGGGAGTGGCTGATGGGTTCCAATCTCCAACCTTTTGGCTAGCAGCCAGATAATGTAACCACCACATTACCAGGAGTTTTTCTAAAACACCCACTGGGCTTTGACTCATCACCTTGTCTCTAGAAATTAATTTTCCTAAACTCCCATGAGAGACAGATGACTGTTGGTTTACATCCAGAGGTGGTTACTCTTCAGAGCCCCTGAATTCCATTTCCAGAGTCTCCCATCTTTTAAGCAAGAGGCATTTATGTTTATTGCTTTATTTTTTAAATGACCCTGTTTTGTTGTGTTGTCCAAAAAGAATATGAAAATAATTGAATGTTTATATATGTTCCTTTCAGAAATAAGTGAAACCAGTGAATCTCTGAAAACCAAAATGTCTGAACTTCGCCTCTACTGTGACCTCCTGATGCAGCAGGTTCATACCATCCAGGAATTTGTTCACCATGATGAGACTCACTCATCTTCCAGTGTGGAGGTATAACAAACATGACTCCTCTGTCCATGTACACTTTGTGGTAGCTGGTGGGTGACATACTTCCTTAAAGATGACAAGAACATTTAAAAAAAAATTTTAACTAGTCTGTGCTCTCCTTACTGGAACAGTCTGGAAATAGCAGGCATCTTCTAGGTTATTGCTGTTGAGCTGCATGCAGTAAAGCAGGAAGCAGCACATTTCTGAAGGGAATTGGGGCCTAACTTTACAAGCAACCTAGTAATTTGTAGATTTATATGGTTGGGTTGGGTGAGGTAGGGTGGAGTGAGGGTGGAACATTCTAGACCTTGTAATCCAGGCTGACTGCATGGATAGTTAACTACTCTTTCTTTTGTTAATAAGATCTTAGCTTCAGATACTGAGAGTTGATAATTTAGCTTTGTGAAATGATTTTCCCCCCCTTAGAACAGTGATGTAGGAATGAAAATTCAGATATTTAGGTCCTGGATATAAAATAGGCTCACTTTTTCTGGCAGAGTACTACCATAATCACTGTACTCTTCTGATATGCTAAGAGGCTAGCATGTAGGAGCAGAAATTTTTCCACTTCTTGTGGCCTCCTTTTTGCTTATGTCTGGTGGGGAAGACTCATGTGAGGTTGGCTATATTGGCTACAGATGACAGAAAACCACACAAGCAGGCCTTCAGAACTTACAGCACTGAGTATTTCATAGCAAACCCTCTGGAGATTCTGCTTTGACATTTGCTCCAGTAGCTCTCTCTGCTGCTGTTGGGGTGTGTGTGACTTTTTCTCGTCACATTGGAAGCTGTAAGATCACACACAGAGGCACGGGGTGAAGTGGCCACACGCAGGAAGATCTCAACTTGCCATCCTGGCTTTTTATCAAGGAACTAAAATCCTAGAAACTTTCTTAGAACAGTCTGTGCTAATCTCCCAAGGTCAGGCCTTCCTGTCTTACACAGGAGGTTTTTATTCTATGCCAGAGGACATGGGGAAATGACTGTAGGTAAGTGTGCTTGTCTGTAACTCTTCTAGCCTTTCACTGCCTGTGACCATCTTCAGAATTCAGATTCTGTTAACTGTCTAGTTACTCCAATCTTACCTGTCAGAAAAAATTACCACTTAGGCTTAAGTTTTTGTTCAGTGTTTCTTTATTTCTTTTTTTTAAATTTTTATATTTCTTTTTGTGTGTGTATCGTCAAATCGGATCTGACTGGTACAGGAGGATATCATCTCCAGCAGAGCATCTGGTGGATTCGAACTGCTCACCTCTGGCACTACAGTACAGCTTCTTGCCACTAGGCCACCAGAACTTGCCTGTTCAGTGTTTCTTATGATATTTTTCTTAAATATACACATTATTTTTTTACTGGAATCAAGTTCACAGATAACTTACAGATTTTATTGTAGTTTGGGTGAAAATGTACAGCACTTGTTGGTATTCAACTATTTATACACGTTTCGTTTTGTAACATTAATTGCAGTTCCCCCACCCCCTACTCACTCTTTTACTTGCTCCCTGGGTTCCTGTTTTCATTCACTGATGTTGTTGTTATGTGCCGTTGAGTTGCCTGCAACTCATAACGACCTCATGTACAACATCTCTGAACCCTGCTCTATCCTGAGTTAACCTCATTGTCGCTGACATACCTACCACCATTACCCCAGTCACTGAGTCAGTCCATCTCATCGAATGTCTTCCTGTCTCACGCTGTCCCTCCACTCTCTCAGGCATGACATCCCTCTCCAAGGACTGGTCCCTCCTTGCAGCATGTCAAAAGTAGGCCTGATGAAGCTTCAGAATCCTTGCCTCCAGGGAGCAGGCTGGCTTCACCTGTTTCACCTATGAGTGACATATTTATTACTCATGAGTTGCTTTAATTTCCCAAGGAAGTTTATTTATTTTTTTAAATTTTATTAATTTTAATGAACATTCATTCACAAAGACCTTGGATTTCCATTCACCTACTGCCACCAACTCTCTCCCTGCCCAGCCCTCCCCCCACCAGTTGGCTCCTCTCTTTGAAAAGCAAAAGAATTAATCTCCTTTGTCATTGTGTCCTTTGCCATTCCCTATCACTCCTCCATGAGAGAGATTTCACTCTGATTCATAAGGAAAAGGGGATGGCGTATTCTCTTACCTACTTCCTGCTGAAAAGGGATGCTGTAGGTTTCAGGATGAAGATCTTCTCTCACTATTCTAAAGGGCCCCTTTGGCAGTAGGAAACACATAGACTATTGTGGAGATTGATTTTGGAATTTAGATGCACTGTTATCAATTGTGCTTAGCCGTACATGCTCATATCCTTGAAGATTTATCATGGAAGTGTTGCAGCCTAGAAGACACAAATTTAACAAGTTATAAGTACATGAGTCAAAAATTAAAAGCAATAATATTCCAAGTAGAGGTTCTAACAGTGGCACAAATCAGAGGGAAGGTAGTTAAAAAAATAAAAGGCTTAATGACAAGCACTGTGGCAATGGGACAGTTAAAACAGACTTTCAAGGGGCAAAAAAAAAAAGGAACAAACGAGGGGTGGTAGAGAATATAGTGCAACAATGAATGGAAATCCAAAGTCTCTGTAAATGTTCATTAAAATTAATAAAAT